GTAAAATCGTGGACGGAAATGCCAATCTGGACAATAACGCCATTAATAGCCATTAACTATTCAAATTGACATCCAATGTGGCCTCTTGAGATGATACCACGACGGTACAAACATATTGGAGGGCTAAAATATTTTAAACCAACTCTCTCTCTCTCTCGTCATTATCTAACACCTATATAGAGATGGCACAATTTTGCAAAGTAAGCAAGTCATGTCACCGAAATCACAATATATAGTAATCTATTGAACAGGGGCCTCACATTGGTCAAATTGAAAAGTTGAGACATTAGATTGTACAAAGAAAAGTTTAGACACTCGATGGTAAAACGGCTGAAAGTTCAAGTGCTTATGATGTCATTGTTTTTTGTAAATTCATTGAATAGAAGGAGAAACGAGAAGGGGAAAATTACCAAAAACGTCATAAATCTATTGTATTTGTACCAATTCAATCCTAAACCTTTCAATTGTACCAATTCAGTCATAAACGTTTTGACAACTTGCCAATTAAGTCAAAAACATTTCAATTATACCAATTGAGTCCTAAACCTTTTGATAATTTACCAATTTAGTCATAAACTTTTTAATGATTTGCTAATTTATGCTGGAAATAGCTGATGTGGTGGTCTAGTTAGCGCTAACCATCCTACATGACATGGTTGGCGCTGACGCGGACAATTTGAAAATTTTTTGTTTTCTCTTCCCGTCTTCCTCTAGTCGGTCGCCGAAAGCTTGCCCCTACCGGCCACTGGCGAGGTCGACCTTGCCCAGCGACGGCGAGGTTGAGCCTTGCCAAGGTCAACCTCGCTAGGGGTGGGCAAGGTGGACCTCGCCGTCCCTCGCCTCTGGCTCATCGCTGGCCATTACCGAGACCCGACAACTAGCTAGAGGAAAAAGGGAAAGAAAAAAAGAAAGAAAAGTAAAAGAAAAAAAGAAAAAAATTTATTTCGAAAAATTATTTAAAAATTACAAAAAAATTTCCGCGTGAGCGTTGGCCGTGCCTTGTAGCATAGCCGGAGCTGATTAGATCTCTATGTTAGTGGTTTCCGGCCAAAATTGACAAATCGTTAAAATGTTTATGGCTATATTGGCAAATCAAAATGTTTATGACTAAATTGATAAGTTATCAAATGGTTTAGGACTGAATTGGCACAATTGAGAGATTTTTGGCGAAATTGGCAAATATGCAATAGATTGAGGAATTTTTTGGTAATTTTCCCCAACGAGAAGCTTTCGAATTTTTCTTTGTTGTTCAATGTAGCATTAAACTCTTTTTCGTTATATATAATCCTTCATTTTTAACACATTAGCGTCCACGCATCACTATCATTAACGGTGCATTTATGCTAAGAGAAGGGGAAAAAAAAAACAAAATGAAAAGCGAAAAAGGATTTTTAGGAAAAAGAGAATGAGATAGCAACTGTCACTAACTTTTGGTCTATGCTCCAAGTATATTCGCATATTCTCGATTTATCACTTTGGTTCTAATATTTTTTCTTTTCAATGTTACTTGTGACATTTTAAAATTAATCCAATGTACTTCTATCATTGTCTTTAACCAATTTATGATCTAAACTTATGCGTTGTCGCGACTCTCCCAAAGTGAATGGGATTACCAATTCAGTCCTCAACCTATTGCATTTGTGCTAATTCAGTCCTAAACCTTTCAATTTGGCCAATTCAGTTCTAAACCTTTTGTAAACCAGCCAATTCAGTCCTTTTGGCCGGCCGGCGCTGACGTGGCCGCCGGCCGGCTGACGTGGCGCCGGCCGGCGTCCACGTGGCAATATTTTAATATTTTTTATTATTATTTTCGAATTTTTTTTTTCTTTTCCTTCTCCCCCCTGGCCAGTCCGGCCAGGGGGGAGGCTCGCCGGCGAGGCGAGTTGGGCCCTCGCCGCCGCTGGGCAAGGGCGGAGCTCGCCCAGCCAAGGTGAGCTCCGCCTCGTCGGAGCTGGGCAAGCTCGCCCGGCCAAGGCGAGCTCCGCCTCGCCGGAGGCTGGGCAAGCTCGCCGGCGGCGGCGAGCGAGCTCGCCTCGCCATGGCGAGCTCCGCCTTGCCGATCCGGGGCGAGGCGGAGCTTGCCCAGCCAAGGCGAGCTCCGCCTCACCCGAGATACGGCGGCGAAGCTCGCCCGGCCATGGCGAGCTCCGCCTCGCCGGATCCAGCCGTGGCGGAGCTCGTCCGGCCAAGGCGAGCTCCGCCTCGCGAGATCCGGGCCGGGCGGAGCTCGTCCGGCCAAGGCGAGCTCCGCCTCGCCGAGATCGGGGCGAGGTGGAGCTCGCCCGGCCAAGGCGAGCTCCCTCGCCCGGATCGGCGGCGGAGCTCGCCCGGCCATGGCGAGCTCCGCCTCGCCAGATTTGGGCGAGGCGGAGCTCGTCCATCCATGGCGGCCGGGCCTCGCCGCTCGCCCGGCCTCGCCATGGTGGGCGAGCTCGCCTCGCCGGAGCTCGACTTGGGCGGGCGAGCTCGAGTCTTCGCTGAGGTGGGCGAGCTCGCCTCGCCCGGCGGCGAGGCCCGGCTCGCCTCGCGGGGCCGGGCCCTCGCCGTGAGCCTCCCCCGGCCGGACGGGCCGGGGGGAAGAGAAAAAAAAAAAAAAAAAAATTCTAATATAATAAAAAATATTAAAATATTACCACGTAGACACCGGCCGGCGCCACGTCAGCCGGCCGGCGGCCACGTCAGCGCCGGCCGGCCAAAAGGACTGAATTGGCTGGTTTGCAAAAGGTTTAGGACTGAATTGACCAAATTGAAAGGTTTAGGACTGAATTGGCACAAATGCAATAGGTTGAGGACTGAATTGGTAATTTTCTCCAAAGTGAATCTCAAGGAGTTCAACAGATTTCTGGATGGGCCCTTAATCGGGACTAAGATCGAGAAGCTACAAAGCCAAGGACACTAAACGGTAAAGTCTCTCTTTCGCGAAATCAGGATTATGTATTGCTTTCAACTTATTTGAAAAAAAAAGGAAAAAATTAGGGATATAAATTAGTTCGAAAATTTCACATGGTATCCACAAAAATCCGACGATCTATGACGAAAGAAAACGAAGTAACTCATTAATTTCGTCCATAGAAAAGAGACTGTGAGAGCGATTAGCATAAAATGACAAGTCTATTACAACATTTTTATACCTAGGTCATAAATTTGCGTATAATCCTACGAAATCTAGTTTTAATTCGCCGTTGTTTATTTTCTTTCTACCACTTTCTTTTTTATTGTTCAAACAAGGGGCTAAAGGGTAGATTATGATATAACCGATTCTGACAGGGACCCTAAATACAAGCCCCATTTTGTTATTGTTTTTTTAAATATTAAGATGTTTGTTAATGTCAATGATATTCATGTTGAAGCATCAAACATTAACAAAAAGAAATTGTTAGTGTGATTGTCAACGAAGATGCAAAATGAATATGGCCATTCAAGTTAAGATTCTCGGCCTCTATTTCTCTTAGAACCGAATATCGAATATGAAGGTACTTACCTTTGAGATGCAAATGTTGACTATGAACGATGATCAATCTAAATTACTGAGATCCTAGAGTCTTCATTGTTGATGATCGGCATCGGTGAATAATAAACGAGCCTGGAGAGAGAGAGAGAGAGAGAGAGAGAGAGAGAGAGAGAGAGAGAGAGAGAGAGAGAGAGAGAGAGAGAGAGAGAGAGAGAGAGCCTTTGAGAGGTCGAGAAGAATCTTAGATTGAGGGAGAGAGTGAGACTGTGACGCGGAGAGATGGAGAGGAAAAGGGTGAAAGAAGACAAGGTGCTAGGCACTTTAGGTTATATACATAGGGTTTGGAAAAAAAATTATAGGGTTTTTGGGGTTGGACCAACCCTAAAGCCTCATGACTAAAGATCAACCCGCATAGTATTGCTTCCAGCGGCCTCAAGACTAGGGACCGATCCAATCTCCCTGGGAACAGGAACATGACCGGCTGGGTTGGGCCGATCCAGGGTCAACCCTAGACCAATACTCACCCCTAATTTGGGTATGAATTTTCTTAAAATGGATTAAATAGGAAGTGTTTAGTAATATGAGTCGGGTATGGATCACTAAATTTGTATTGCATGGAAATAGATTAATTTGGGTCGGACCATTTTTCAAACTGACTTGACCCAAGCCTGTTTGACGGGTCTAGTCTCATATTGTCTATGAAATGTTGCAATTGAGTCATGAAAACTTCGTACCATCCGATCAAGTCATAAACACTTCGTACCATCATAAATACTTCGTACCCGTTTGACATGTGTTGAGTACCTCCGTTGATTGTCTCAATGGTTACTATATGTAGATTAGTTTAGTTTAGTTGTTTTCTTTAGTTTTATAGGATTGCATATACGTTGTTTATTAGTTTTTTCTTCTCATTTTTCAGTGGAGACCTCTCAAAGGCATTTCAAAAGTTCCATAACACTCATTTCTTATCCTATACTCTCCTGTTATATCAATTCTTAAAAGTTTGAGAGGGACGTAATGCCTATAGAGTTTTATTGGTAAATCTCTAAGCATGGGTGGTCATAATCTGGAATTAGGAAATATATAATTTACAATCTTTCATGAGTATATCATTATAACTTCTTATTGGCTTAACATTTAAAGAGTTCTATCGTACATTTCATATCAACGAGTAACTGGGTGATTAATTTGCATCTGTGCAAGACCTTCAAATTGTGTTCTTATATAATTTGGTTAGTTATTATTTATAAAGATAACTCAGATGTCTTTAGTAATAAAAAAGAACGAGAATTTAATCTCCTGTTGTTCCTTGTTATTAATTTGAAATTATGTAATTTGTAGCCCTCAATGATTTTACAAACAAAGATAAAAGTCAATGGACATGCCTATGTTGTCGTAGAACTCATGAACGTCTAATGCATGCAAACACTTTCCTCGACAATAAATTCCGCCTTGGCGGAAGTTAAAATATTCAACAACTAAAATATTATAGACACATCCAACTATAATGACAAGGACAGCTTTCAAAGCATGTAAACGAGCTTCTGCATAAGAGACAACATATACTAGAATATCTTATCAACCAGTAAACATTTATTACACATCTCTAGAGATGAAAATGATTAGACAAGTTACAAGTATCAAAACAGGCCAAAACGCAAATTTTATCTTTGACAAGCGGGTCACCCGATTCACGCCACAACAATGTCTGGCCATTTATTAAAGAGTAGTAACTCACGGTGGGACCATTCCCACTAAGCTTTGGTAGTGAAGTTGAAGTTTGAGCAGGTCGTCTGCCTGAAATGCAGAGAAGAGCTGAACCCAAAGGCCGACGAGGCCAGATCAAATTGCAGCAAATGGTCCTCCAATTGATGCCCTCCAATCACTACTGGAGTCAATGGATTCAACCCACCATCCACAAAGCCCAAGCACAGCACACCCTCCTTCACTTGCACCATCGAATTAGCCCCAAATATCCCCCAATGCCAAATCCTCTTCCTATCCCTACTTGGGAACACCAAATTGATCGTCGGCACGGCCGGCCCGGTCCTTGTGCTTGAGATGTTCCTCGAGTCAAAACATGCCTCGAAAGGCTTAATTGGCGCCACTCTCGGGACTGTCGAAAGTTCCTTGGCGAAAGCCCCGACCACGGCCCTGTAGATCGAGGTCTCCAACACGGTGTACGGGTCCACGGTGCTGATTTTGGTTCCTCCATAGCCTTGTTTGTTGATGACCAGGAGGGACAAGTTCAACGGGACCGGGTTCTGGTTCACTTTGATGGACTTGAGTTCAATGTAGTATTCCGATGAGGGATTGCCAACGTGACCTGGCACATCGCTCGCAGGGGTAGTGATGAGGGGAGTGAAGTAGAGGGACTTGGAGACATCGATCCCAGGGAGCATCATGTAGGGGCCATCACCAAAGAAGGCCACTCCACTGGAGCTTGAGGATGGGCTCAAGCAAATGGCAAACTTCCTAGCAAAGCTGAAGGAGGCTGAGAATTGGGAGGGGAGTGAAGTCCTGGTCCTCCCTAGCCCCGCCATCCCCAGGACCCCACTAGCCAGGCCCTCCAGGTGGAAACTCCTGCTGCAGGAGAAGAGGAACCCGGGCACCGAGACGGCCCGGCCCGGCCCCAACCCGTCGGTGGACTGGACCGACAACACGTCCCGGGCCAGCTCGGCGCCGGTGATAGTGCCGATGATGGTGTTATCCACGTGGACCGTGCACGTGTTGTTGTTGCACAGGGGCCCGGCCCTGGAGCGGCAGGAGCTGCAATACTTGTGGGGCGCCCCGGGGGCTTGCGAGCACGAGGCCGAGCGGCAGTGGACGGGGCTGTAGGTGGCCGATGAGAAGCCTCGGTCGCACTCGACCCAAAGGAACTCGCCGCCAAGGTCGAGGGTCAATTTGACCGGGACTAGGGGGGTTCTCTGGTGGAGGGCGGCGAGGTACTGGAGAGTCGAGGAGTCCTTGGTGACCGGGAGGACGAGGGCTTTGGGCCTGAAAGAGGCTTGGGAAGTGATGGGGAATGTGACTGATAGGATAGAGCAAAGCATGAGCAAGTGGAAAGAGTAAGAAGCCATGGCGATAACTGAGAAATTTGAGAGAGCTACAGAAGGATACATGACCGTGTGCTTTTAATAGCGCCCAAGCCTCTGAATTTTCCATAATTGGCATTGAATGGGTGTGGGACTCCAATAGCGTGTTGGTACAGAGAAGATGGTCGTGTTTTCTTGACCTTCTGACTTTTCTGTCCCACAGATTGTACGGAGCGCAGGCACCAGAGGACACTTCTTCCTATCCTTTATCCTCTCGAGTGGCTGCCGTTGGGATGTGTAAATTTAGTGAGTAAAATCTTTCCTATGTCTCCTTCATGATACCCAACTAGGTGCGAACTCGCGCTTTGCACGGACTGATAAAAGAATATTGTTAAACGCTGAAAATAAGTGACCGTAGTTATTTTTACCATCCTAGATGACTACGCAGCTTTTTAGAAAAGAAAAGGAGTCAAAATCAAGGAGTTTTTCACCAGGAAAATTGTTGACATAGTTACTTAACTTACTATATATTGAAGAAAGACAATTTTAGTGACTTTTTATTTTGTATTTGCGCTGGGGAAAGAACTATTCCATTGCACAGATATCATCAAATAAGTACAATAACAAAATAAATAACTCAAGCCCTATCATATGACCTTAGCACACAGAGTGTCTTGGGCAATTTTCTTGTGGTGGGCAGGCTAAAGTGAAAATTTAGTTGCAGAATTATACCTTTGGCAAGCGGTGAGCATACTAGCCTAGTGGTTAAGGGTTACACTCGTGAGATCACAAATTTGAATTATACATTTAGCAAGCTTGTGCTTGGGCATTTACTACTTCATATGGAGAGGTTTTCTGACTTTTGATGTCAGACTCATATACCATAGTTGGACTGAAGTAGTTATAACTCAAATTGAAAATTTCGTAATGGATGGAGACTCTCATAGTGATGCTCAAAAGGGGCAGTTGTGTCGGCTGCCTCTTCATTCTCTTTAAATTACAAAAGAAAAAGGTCTCCGGAGTGTTTGACCTTTCAACCTCAATACGTAATTGAAGGTAAGAAACAGTCGAAGGGCTATAATATCACCCCCAGCAATATCTGATCGGTGGTTAAATGCTCTAATATCATTAGGGCCGTCATATTGGTAGCTCAGGTCGAAAATGATCCAACTCATATCGATCTATTTAATCCGTTTTGACCCATTTTCATGCAATGTAAATTTAACCCAACCCTTAACCGACTCATGCCCGACCCGATTCATATTACCAAAACACATTAATATTTAACTTGATTTAGGAATACCTATATCCACCCATTTAACCTACTTTAAGCTCTTCATGTGTATATCAAATTAAAAAAGCAAATTAAACAATAAAAAATTAGTAAATTAAATAAAGAAAGTAATGAACCTATAAATTGAAATATTTATAAAGAACTTAAGGTTGACAAAATGGGTTCCATATCCATTTGGTGACTCAGATTTAATGAGCCCGACTTCGTATGGGTAACTCGTTTTTTTTTTCCTAAATAGATCATTAATGGGTTGAAAAAAAATAAAGCCACAAAAATAGGTCATAAATGGGTCAAAAGCCCACACCCACACTCATTCAAGCAAGTTATTTCTGATTTAGCAATTAGCATGATAATTAATAGTTAATTACTAGCTATAGGTCAATAGACAACCTCAGACGCGCACTCGCTGATATTGCCGCGACAGCGAATGACCTTGGTGCAGGGCGGTTCTACGCCTCTCAAGTACTTTATTATTATCCCCTAATAAATTTGAGCAAAGACATGAGAAATAGTTTAGGGAAAATTTCAAATCAGGGCCTAAAGTATCTTTATTTTCTTAAATAAAAGCCTAAAGTATCATCATTTTCTCAAATAAGGGCTAGAAGTGAATTTTGTTCAAATAAGGGCCTGAAGTAGCCTAAAGTATCTTCATTTTCTTAAATAAAAGCTTAAAGTGCCATCATTTTCTCAAATAAGGGCTACAAGTGAATTTTGTTCAAATAAGGGCCTGAAGTAGCCATGTCGATTTCAAAGAAGGGCCTATTCTTTGGTTTTTTTCTTTTTTTTCCCCTTCTTTTCTTTATTTTTTCCTTTTTCTATTTTTTTCTTTACTTTTCGTCGGTGGCTGATCTCAAACAATGGTTGGTGATACCCGGAGAGGCCTGGGCGAGGCTACCCTTGAAAAGCCACAAGTGAGGGTCGCCCACAGACCCTAGCCCAAGACTTGAATTTGTGTGAAAATAGAGTCCTCTGCTAACTCCGTCCAATTTGACTAACAAAAAATATTGACATTGTTTATTTTTAATTTTATCTCTCCCACGTGGCATGCTATGTGGCATTAAGGTTAACTAAAGTACTAAAAAGACATCGTTTTGATCTGAATCCTAATTTTTTAAAATTAGATAAAAAATCCAAAATTTTTTTCCATAAAAAGACAAATTCAAAAAATACAAAAAGCTAAAAATAAAAAAATAAAAATAAAACACACACCGCCTGGTCTTCTTTTTGTTTTTTTCTAAGTTTGAGCTTTTTTTTTTCTTTTGAAAAAATATATTTCTTAATTTTTAATCTAATTTAACTAAAATTTAGGTGTCTTTGGACAAAAATGCACTTCACCGATTGGAAATTTAGCCAATCGGCGAGGTTAGACCCTTATTTAAAACTGTTATGGTCACTTTAGACCCTTATTTGGAACTATCATGGTCACTTGAGGCCTTTTTTTTTTAAAACGAGATTTATTTAAGGCCTTTATTTAAAAAAATGATGGCTCCCTTATTTGGAATTTTCCCAATAGTTTAATATCTCCTAATAAAAACTCGTTTCAAAGAAAGAAAAAAACCCCTAATAAAAACTCAGTCCCTTGCGCTCTCTCTCTCTCTCTCTCTCGTTCGCAAGCTGCACTTGATAGCTTCTTAGAACTCTGTTGCTTTCTTCTAATAAATCTCACGCCCTTGTTTGTTCCCTCCATTTCTTCAACCTCGATCTCTTCGTCGCGCTTTTGCACTAATTCAATCGAGCTCAATCGTCGATCCCAGGTCGTGCTCTTCACTTGGCATGATACTCCCCCTTCGCCTCGCATTCCTGATTCGTGCGGGGATGGTGCCCGGGGGGAATTTTTGGGTGCCAAGTTAGGGTTCCGGGTTGGGATTTGATCTGAGTTCGGAGGATTCGAAATAGCCAGGCTGGTCTGGTCTCGGCTTTCGAACTTGGAGGTAGTCATGGCCACGGGCCGGTTTCGGCCCGGTCAAACCCGGGCCTGGCCCGTTGACCGGGCCCGCGGTTCGGAACCGGAACCGGCCTGTGGCCTACGACCCGGTTCCGGGCCCGGTTACAAAAAAAAAATCAAAAAATTTAAATAAATAAATTAAAAAAAAAACAGAAAACCTGCAATAGGGACTGCACGTCTGCAGTGCTGCCTTGTTATGGCCTGTTGCTGGGCAAATGCCTTTGCAGGCTGCCTTGGCAACGGGCAAAAAAAAAAAAAAAAAAAAAAGATAACCGGAACCGGTTCATACATGGCCACGAACCGGCGGTTCCGGTTCGTGGCCATGACTACTTGGAGGATGGCAAGTTCGAGCGGTCATCATTTCAAAAAAGAGCGACTGACTTTGGAAAATAGGTTGAAATATTTAGTGACCCATTTATGGATTTTATTTTTCTCAACCCATTTTTGACCAATTTAGAAACAAACGAGTTATCCAAAATTGGGCTCATTAAATTCGAGTTCCTGACCAAAGAAAAAATCTAAGTTACAAAATGGCTATTTTGCCAGCCCTAAATATCACGCACATATTACTTCAAACACAATCCAAAAAAAAAAAAAGTAAAAGAAAAACTCTCCCCTCACTCATCGTTCTCTCTCTCGGGTCTAAGCGTGAACTCCATCCCACCATCATCACTGCCGTCCACCCGGTCGCTATGTCCACACCATCTTTGGAGCTTGTTGACAACAAGTCGGGTCCTTAAAGGATAAGAACACTAGGAGTGCCATAATTTTTGTACGGCGCTCATTTGAATGCCATAATTTTTTTTTTCGCTCACTTGAGTGCCACAAATTTGAAAAAATGATCACTTAAGTGCTACAAATTTGAAAAAACGATCACTTAAGTGACATCGGTGATTTGCCTCGCCAGAAAATTCGACGTGGACGCTGGTCGTCCGACGTGGCTTCGCCGGCGCTGACGTTGATAATTTTTTGATATATTTTTGGAATTTTGATTTTAATTTTTTTGGGAATATTTTGAATTTTTATTTTCCTTTTTTTTAGCTTTTTTTTTTAATGCCACGCGAGGGTCATCGGCAACCCTTGCTGGCTGCGAAGCCCTCGCCTAGATGGGGGAGGGCCGCCTTGCCCTGCATCGCGAAGGTCCGGGCAAGGCCATTGCGGCCTTGCCGGCAATGGTCGAGGCTACAAAGACCGTCGCCAAATCTGGGTGGCCGCAAGCAAGGTGTCGCTGCCAGATCTGGCGAGGCCGCCGGCAAATTTGGCGACGGCCTTCGCGGCCTCAACCATTGCCGGCAAGGCCGTGATGACCTTGCCCAAGCCTTCAAGGTGGAGGGCAAGGCGGCCCTCGCCGGTAGTGGGCGAGGCTGCGAAGGCCGTCGCCAGATCTGGGCGGCCGCCGGTAAGGTGTCACAGCCAACACCGCCTTGCCCGCGGCCACCTAGAGCTGGCAATGGCCTTCGCGGCCTCGTCCACTACCGGCAAGGCCGCGATGGCCTTGCCAGAGCCTTCATGGTGGAGGGCAAGGCGGCCCTCGCCCATTGGGCAAGGGCTTCGCAGCCGACGAGGGTCACCGATGACCCTTTCCGGCCTTGAAAAAAGAAGAAAATTAAAAAAGGAAAAGAAAAACAAAAACAAAAAATCAAAATAAATAAAATTCAAAAAAATAATAAAAAACATTTAAAAAATTCACGTCGGATGGAAAATTAATTAAAAAAACCATGTAGGACGATTTGCCAGAAGTGGCACTCAAATGATTTATTTTACTCCAATGTGGCATTTAAGTGAGTGAAAAAAAATTATGGCACTCAAGTGAGCGCCGTACGAAAGTTATGGCACTCCTGCTG